TCCCCCCCCCCTACCCACACCAACACTTTCCTTACAAAACGAAGAGCTTCGCACGCACTAAATAACTCCACCATAAATAACAACATGGCGGCGCTCAATACTGCAATGTCAAGACGAGGCGAGGGGGTCTTCTTTTTGACTCCGACAGAACTTTTAAAAACTTGGATCACAATTTGGCACGGAACAAACTTGATCTATGCGCGATTCAATATGGCCGCTGGCCAGCTACCAACTTTCACGACGGCTTTTCGGGCGAAACTGTGACATATCAAACAGTTTTTGGGACGTTCTCAACGCCACTGTTTGATTTTTGAAATCTTGTTTAGGGTTTGAGAGGGGTTATTTGGATCTAGCTTTACCGGTTCTTACAAAGGAGCTATTAAATTAGCTTGGTTTTCTTTTTTTGGGTGTTTTTTTAATCGTCTGTAAAACTGTGCTTATCACTTCGAGGTTTGTGCAGAAAAATAACATCAAGAGACAGTTTAAGTGGTTGGTGGGGGGCTCTGGTGTGGTTTGCTTCTTCTTTCTTATCAAACGTCTATCGTCCTTATCTCCCCTTCTTCTTTTTTTATGTTTGTTACTCTCTTGTAACACCTCTAATCTTCTGGCGCTCATATGACCTTATGCAGTTGCAAGCGCCGTAAAACCTCTACTATAACTAGTCAAGAGACAGTAACTACAGCATGGACAACACAACAACAACTATTACTGCAGCAGCAACAACAACAACAGCAACAACAACAACAACAACAACAACAACTACAGCAACAAAATGAACAACAACAGCAACAGCAACAACAACAACTACAGCAACATCAACAGCAACAACTGCAGCAACAGCAACAACAACAATAACAACAATAGCAGCATCAATAACAGTACACTAAGAACAACGGCCACACCAACAAAATCACTACCATCAACAACAACAACAACAACAACAACAACAACAACAACAACAACAACAACAACAACAACAACAACAACAACAACAACAATAACAACAACAACAACAACAACTACAATAACAACAACAACTACAATAACAACAACATCAACAACAACAACAACAACAACAACAACAACAACAACCTCAACAGTATCATCATTAGCTACTGCACACTTCAATGAATATAAATGATTATTATAGCATCCGTTTTCTCGTTCTCTCTCTCTCTCTCTCTCTCTC